ATCTTCTTCAGACCAGAAGTGCCAGGGCTGATTCTTGTGGACCCAGCCACTTACTGCCCAGGTATAGGGCCAGCTTCTCAATGTTGCTGCTGCCTTGACTTTCTCCCATGAGACCTGCATATCCTCATCAACACAAGACCCTTCTCTGCCTGCTCTGGGGTCCCCAAACCAACACCAGCAGAACCAGGCAATGGCTCACATGATCACCCCCTTTGTAAGAGCATTCCACTGGACCCTAATGCAGGTATTAAAAATGACACATCTGTGAACTGGGATCCCCATTACAGAAATCTAGTTTATGAACAACTTTTTGGGGATAAAACATGTTACACGATAAGCTGCTTCCAATGTGTGTGGCAGAGACGAGGTTCCCTGGACCCACATGCCCCAGAGAAAGGCCCAGGCACTCCCCCAACAGGTCTAACTCAGCAGCTGCCTGGTAGCTGGCCTGGGTCTCTGAGGAGGGGCCCCAAGGTTCAGTCCAGGGCCTTCTGTATTACTTTGAGGTTTCTCCTGGGGGACTCATGCACATCTGAGACCTTCTGGACAAGGAAGGTTGAGCCCTGCAAGGGGAGACAGAGTCATTCTTTAAGGGAGGGGCGCAAAATGAAACTTATTTGCTTGATACTCCTCTCCTACTCACTGTGAAGGCTGGTTTTTCTCTTCAGGGGTCCTAAGGCACCCACTGAAGTCTTCCCAAAGGACCAGAGGTGCCTGTGCTTCTTGCTCATCTGGAAGACTCAGGAAAGGGTCCCGCTTCTGCCCTTCCTGTGGTAGGCGTATTCTAAAGAGTGGATGAGCAGCTGCAGCCAGGTGAGGAACCAGCAGGCACCCTCACCGGTGGCCTGAAGTGGCTGCCACAAGCACACAGCTGAGCACCTTAGAGTATAGGCAAGGCTGGGCACAGGGGTCCTTCAAGATGTCTTCAACAGGTGCCAAGATCTCTGAGTTCCTCAGAGCTCATCATGTCTGCATGTAGCCATGGGCCTTGGAGCTGCTGGAAAGCAGAAAAGAGACTTTCTAGTTCCAAAGGGGAAACTCAGGCAGGACCCCAGACAACCCCTACATTGTCAAGATGAGAATTATGCTAGTCCAAGGCTGGAAGGCATGTGTGACTCAGAGTCCAGCCTCTGAAGCACCTGGAGGGAGGGATGGCCACCAAGACCTGCCTATACTCCTCCCAGGATGGAGCACTGCCCACTTTGTCCACCGCATGGGCTGTTGGCTCTAAGGTTTCTACAGACCCTGTTCTTCCCACTTACTGTCGATCACCCCAAGTGGTTTCTGGGTTTGCATGAGCCTGTATTTCGTGCCCTCATTTCACTGTAGATGTGGAGTGTAAGGTTAAATCACCAATGTACCTGTTTATTTCTGATGGTCAAAGCTGCAGCCCATGGATGACAAGCCAAACCACAGACATGCCATGAGGGGGGAGCCACATGCCAGGGAGGAAGCCTAGCCCTCAACACCTCAGGTGCAGGGAGAGGGGTGACAGGGCAGAGTTTGAGGACACACCTGGGGCATGCTGTGTGCAGGTCGCAGGGAGAGGCAGCAACTGGCTCCTGTGGCAGAGTATGGCACAGCCTCATGTTCCCAGCTTGTGTGGCCCCTGGTCTATTGCTGATGTGAGATCAGAGTGTGTAAGTGCCACTGCAGGGGACCTTGAGGGGCCTCAGGGGTTGTCTATGGTCAGAACCAAAATTTGTCTCTGCTTCACCATCTCAACCACAGTTTTCTACAATGTTCATAGATGCTGCTCAGAGGGTCACTCCTGGCCCATGTTGAGCTGCAGCCCAAAGAAGAAAGAAAATAAGAATAGTTAGGAAGGAGAGGAGGGAATGAAAAGGAGAGAGAGAGCTGAGAGCAAATCCAGCAGCAGAGAGGGCAGTGTTCTGTAATCTAGGCTCTGCTCTCAGTGCTAAGGGCCATGCACTCCCTTGGAGCTCCATGGCATCTGGGGTCAGACAGTTTTGGAAGGGACGGTCTGTGCACTCTGTTAGCACTATGGCATTTGGGTGTCTGAGTATTTGAGGGGAATACTTAGAACACCCCCCTTCAGCTTCTTCCAGGGACAAGCCCCATATAATCTGTGAGCCTTGAGATGTTTGTACAGCATCTGGATGTCTGAGTCTTTTGGAGGTAGAGGGTCCACAGGCATAAACTTCAGGTGTACCAGTCTTTCCTCTGCCATCAGAGTTCTATCAGGCTGCAGCTTTCTCTTGTAGCACCCGGATCCTTGGCCATGTTTTGGGGCTTGTGAGACCCTGAGACTCTGGCCCTCAACTCTCCCTCAGCACACACACCACTGCCTGAGGAATGTCTAATATAACCATGGCCAGCCAGGTGCTAAGAACACCCCCTTCAGCTTCTTGCAGGGACGAGTCCCAGAAAACCCACCCTTGGTCTCTCTCTCTCTCTCCATGAGCTTAGGAGAGAAGCTGGAGAAATGACTTCCAAGAATTGCCTGTTTTTCCTATCAGGAGCCTACCTCTCTCTCTTTCTCCCCCCGCCGCTCTTTACCCCAACCCTCTCATCCTTTTTCCTTTCCTCTCCTTTTCCCACCTCCCTCTCAGCCTATGCAGGTGGGCACCATGCCTGCTGTGTGCCTGGCAGTGGTCCCATACCATCAGGCACATTTCTAGTTAGCACTGGGTCACAGCACCACCAGTCACATCATGACCATCAGGATGGGGGATTTATGAGCTCATCCAGGCTTCGTGTCTGCACCAGGCCAAGGTGTTTCCAGAATGCCTCTCCCTTACCTCCTTCCATCACAAGAATGGAGTTTCTGTTTTGGCTTTTCATAGGTGCTATAAATTATAACCAGTGTGTGTGCATGTGTGTGTTTGTGTGTGTGTGTGTGCATGGGCCCATGGACATGGCTTCACAGCTGGGCCTTCTTGCTCTGAATCACCTGATGGATCCTTATAGAAAGGGGTTAGGGTGGCTCTTACCATGGCTCACCCTAGATCCTGGCTATAAGAGGTGGACACCACACGATGAGCTTCTTGGGAGCCACGTGGCAGCAGCAGGACACAGAACTGAGGGGGAAGTCTCCCAAGGCTCTGTTCCTTCCTGCATGCTCAGAATCCATTAGGTGAACTGACACAGATGGCTCAGTGTTCCTGTCTGCAAACACACCCTGCATGCCCACTAGTGGCTGCTATGCCCACTAAAGGGAGAGGACAAGGCCAGCAAAGAGCCCACAAATTACAAGTTCAGAAAACCTCAAATGATGTGCAAAAAAAATTTGTCAGGGTTAAGAGAATTTTTCTATCACTTTGCTTCACAACTCAGCATTTCTGATGGGGGTGACTTATGAGCTGAGGGAGCTGGCAGGGGGGCTTAGGGGAGAGTGGGCAGGAGGGCAGTATGCTTTGGAGGTTCTAGAATTCCTGAGGCTCAGCACCAAACAGCCTCAGAACCAGGCTTTCAAGTGGCAATCAGGCAGGGAGCCAAAGATTAAATTTGGAGAGAGATGCATCCCTGAGGACACAGTGGCCTCCATGCAGAGACACCATGGCTGGACCATCTCCTCTCTCTGGCTCTCTCCTGCATTCACTAATTGTGAATGAATAGAAGTCAGCAATGTAGCCTGGGTCAGGCACTCTGCATTCATCCATGCATCTGTCTACCCACTTCTCATCTGTATTGGCCTCCTGTGCCACAGAGACCACACCAGGCCTCAGGCCCTGCCTCAAGAGGCTCAGATGGCCCCGATGGTGTCAGGGCTAAAAGACTTTACACCAGAGCAGGCCCAACTCCCAGATGTGGCTGGATGTAGCATGTACCTAGGTTGGAAAGGCCAAGTTTACACCCTAGGAAAGGCAGAGACATTGCCTTTGGCATCAGATCCTTGGTGCTGACTCCACCTGGCACAGCAAGAAACACATGTTGCTGTGACCTTTGACACCTCCCTCCCTCTGAGGATTATTCTTCTATCATTTCCTGATCTCCAGGAGCACCCAGAACCCAAAAGGGCCCCAGTCAGATGCAACTTGGGCAGCCTGAGGTCTACCAACCTGGGGAGGGGGTGGCCTCTCTCTGTCTTTGTGGGTGTTACAGCATCTTTAGGGTACCATTTTTTGGCCAGAAACGTCTGCGGCTGGTGGCACCTTTGCCCAAGTTCTTGTCCTGTGTCCATGAAGAATGAGATACTCAGAGAAGTGGAGGGTGAGCAAAATGAAGATAAACTTTACTGAGTGTTAGCACAGCTCAGAGGAGGCCCCTGGGGGGCAGCTCCTCTCTGTAGGCAGGTCCTCTCCTCCAGTGATCAGCTCTCAGCAGAGGTGGCCCTGGAGGGGGTGGCTCCTCTCTGCAAGCAGGTAGCTCCTCTCTGCAAGCAGGTAGCTCCTCTCTGCAGCCAGTCATCCAGTCATCTCAGTCCTCTGCCCTGCTCTGGCTAAGCTTTGAGCTTTTATGGACCTCAGAGGCGAGGAAGTGCTTGCTGATTGGTCCATAGGGTATGGGTCTGCAGGAAGAGGCACCACAAGTCCTCACTCCAGTCCCCACCTGGCCCCCAGCCTTCAGGGCCTCCCTGTTTGGCAGGTGGGGACTTATCGGGGACTCCCACACTTCCTGTTCATATCTGCCTCCCCACTGCTGCCCACGGCTCCCAGGCCACTGGCACCAAGGGGCACCCTCAGGCCGGTGTTGAGGTCCTCCAACCCCCATCTCAGCCTCCCTCCCACATTCATTGTCACCCAAAGTCTGGAGGGGCCAAGGTGGCAGGGGCCAGCGTGTCAACGTTGCCCCTAGCCTGGGGCTCCAGCAGCGCCTGGACTCGACCCCAGCCCCTCCCAAGATCTGAGTCAGTGCCAACCGCGAGGTCTGGGAAGCAGCTCAGACATGGGTGGTTCCAGCTGTGCCTGGGGAACTCCAGCCCTGCCAAATGGGAGGGGGGGAGTTCCCACCTGTCTCTGGCACTGCAGAGTGCACAGTACCAGCCCATGCACCTTCTCTACGTCTTCCCGCAGTGGCAGCCAGCGAGGTGCAGGTGGCATGGTGGACCTGGCCAATCCCGCACAAACCCGCCACTCCCGCACAAACCCGCCACTCCCAGGGCCGGCCCTCAGAGTGCCGACTGCTCCTTGGCTGGTGCTTAGGAGCCCCTGGGGCAAGGCAGGGAGTGAGGTTGAGGCTGCAGCAGAAGCTCAGGGCCTGGAAGCGGATCCTGCCAGGCACTGCGAGGGCAGAAGTGGTATAGTCAGCTGCCTTGGGAACATGGGGCCCACTGCTGCCATCATTGCTCCCACAGCCGCCCCCGCTGCCCTCTCTGCCTCCTTGCAGCCTGGGCAGGGCTCCAATGCCTTGCTGGGCTGGCGCGGTGTCCGGGAAGGGGGCCACATTGCCGCAAGTTCCCCGCTGTGGCCGGGGCTTTCCCAAGCCTGGCTGGCGACCCTGCCATGTAGCGCCTCTGGGAACCAATTGTGGACGGGACCCGGCCAGCCGCCACACTCCGACGCGGAGTGGATCCTGGGGATGCAGCCTCGGGTGGCCCCTCGCTGAGCCTCCATCGTGGGCGCAGAAAACTGGCGCCCGGCAGGGAGCCAGCAGCTGCACGTTGCTGGCCGGTCCAGTAAGCGGGCGCCACTCCCACTTCCCACCCCAAGCCGCTGAAGCTCGGTCACTGCTCCGCCTTTGCATTTGGGGCACGGACCCCACGCTCCTAGCACAATCGAGGCACTGTCCTGGGCCCAGCTCCTCACTGGGGCCCCTCCGTGGAGGACCTTGCAGTTCCCCTTCCAGCGGTTGGGTGGGCCCGGCGAGGCCACACAGTAATGGCTCCCAGGGCGGCAGGTCCTGGGACTGTTTGCCTCAGCGTCTGCACCAGAGGACCCACAGCCTTCACCCTCACCTTGCTGCAGCCGGTGCCATGGCAGCTGCCGCTTTGGACAAGCCGCCACTGCCATTATGGGTGCTGGCAAGTCTCACTCCAAAGGAAGCAGGGACCAGTACCTGTGACTGCCCAGGCCTGCTTTGTGGAGTCCATGGGAAATCCTGTGCCTCCTAGAAAAGAGCATGGGCACCCTCCCTCCAGTCCTTGAGTCAACTCCGGAGAGTAGGCATGGCAGCAGCTGGTGGCACAGTTCTGGAGTCTGGTGCCTGGGCTGGTAGTTGGCCCTTCTCTTGGGACAGCTGTGTATCCATCTCCTCTTCTGCAAAATGAGGCAACACAGCACCCAGCTTTTAGATCCCTGGCAATGAATGAGAGTCCTCGTTCGCCAAGTGTGTCCCTGAGTGCACAGAGACCCTGGGAAGGAAGGCAAGAGGACAGGAAAGGCAGCAGGAGGGAGCAGAGTCTGTGCAGCCGTCTGCATTTTGTGGAATCAGAGACAGCACAGGCACAAGAAGCCAGGCCTGCAGCCTCCCACCCACCTGACCATAACTATGCATCCAGGGCCACTTCAGGAGCATTTCTCTGGTCTGAGACAGAAAAGCAGTAGCTTCTGAAGCTCTGTCCAAGCTCTGTGGCCTGTAGCCTGACTGTGTTAAGAGGCATAGGCCCTACCCCTCCCAGCCCCCTCCCAGCACACCCCTCCCAGCACACCCCTCCCAATGCTCCCCTCCCAGCACACCCCTCCCAGCATATCCTCTCCTAGCTCTCTTCCAGTGCACCTCTCCTAGTGCATCTCCTCCTAGATCCCTCCTAATGAACCCTACCCAGCACACTCCTCCCAACACACCCCTCCCAACACACCCTACCCAGTCCCCTCCCTTCACTGCCCCTCCCAGTGCACTCTTACTGATTCAGGGCCCTGAGATCAGGGCTTCTCCTGGCTTTCCTTGAGGAAGCATCACCACAGAGTCAGAGGAAGAGGTGCAGTTGGCATGATGGCCTGGCCAATCCAGCATGAACCTGCCCCTTCCAGGGCCTGTCCTGTGAATGCCGGCTGTGCCTTGGCCCAGTATTGGAGAGTGTGGGAGTGTGCATGGTCATGTACAAGTGTGTGTGCAAGTGTGGGAGTGTGCAAGGGCATGTGCAGGTGCACAGAAGTGTGTGCGCATGTGTGACAGCCTGCACAGACATGTGCGGGTGTATGGGAGTGTGTACAGGTGTGCTAGTGTGTAGGGGCATGCACCGGCATGCAGGAATGTGTGAGGGCATGTGAGAGCATGTGCAGGCATGTGCGGGTGTGAGAGGGTGTGTGCCCAAGTGTGGTGTGCATAAGTGTGTAGTGTCCTAGGGCATGCAGGAGTATGTGTGGAGGTGTGGGAGTGTGCATGGGGGTGTGCACAAGTATGGGAGTGTGTGAGAGCATGCATGGGTGTGCAAGGATGTGCAAGTGTGTGCAGGTGTGCAAGACAATGTAAGATTGTGTGTGGATGTGTGAGCAAGTTCAGGGGTGTGCAAGGCGTGCAGGGGTATGTGGGTGTGTCCACAGGCATGTGCAGGTGTGGGGGAGTGTACAGGGGCATGCACGGGTGTGCAGGAATGTGCACAGGCACAAGTGTGTGGGAGTGTGTGGGCATGAGAGGGTGTGTGCCCACGTGTGATGGTGTGCATAAGTGTGTCGTAGTGTCTGCAGGCATGCAGGAGTGTGTGCCAGCATGAGTGAAACTGTGGGAGTGTGTGCAGGTGTGTGAGGGCATGTGGGGTGTGTGCGGGCATGAGAGAGTGTGTGCCTGTGTGTGGCAGCATACACAGGTGCATGCAGGTGTGTGGGAGTGTGTGTGGGCATGTGGGACTGTGCATGGGCATGATAGTGTGTGCATGAGAGAGTGTGCGCACATGTGGGAGTGTAGGTGGGTGTGCCAAGGTGTGCGCCTGTGTGTGGGCGTGTGTGTGGCAGGCGGCATGGTGGCCCAGGTCAATCTCAAAGGAACCCGCTGCTCCCAGGGCTAGTCCTACCATTGCAGGCTGCACCTTGAGGGGGTGCTGGAGACCTCCCGAGACACCACAGGGAGTGAGGCCTAGGCAGCAGCGAAGCCTCAGGAGCCGGGAGCTTGTCCTTCCAGGCAGTGCAAGGGTGGAGGTGGTACAGTCGGCTGCCTTGGGGACATGGAGACAAGGTGCCTACTGCCGCCATCACTGCTCCCACAGCCGCACCCGCTGCCCTCTCTGCCACCTTGCAGCCTGGGGCAGGCCTCCAATCCCTTGCTGGGCCAGGGCGGTGTCCGGAAAGGGGGCACATCGCTTCAAGTTCCCCGCTGCGCCCGGCGCTCTCGCTCACCTGGCTGACGACCCTGCCAGGTAGTGCCTCTGGGAATGGATTATCGCCCGGACCTGGCCGCGGCTGATGCGGAGTGGATCCTGGGGACGCAGCCTCAGGCCCCTCGCTGAGCCTCCGGCCTGGACGCAGGAACCTGGCCTCACAGCAGGGAGGGCGCAGCAGCCACAGTTGGCCAGGTCTGGGAAGCGGGTGCCACTCCCGCTTCCCAGCCAAGGCCTCTGAAGCTCGGCCACCGCTCCACTTTCATGTTTTGGGCCCGGACCCCGCCCTCTGAGCACAATAGCGGCACTGTCCTGGACCCAGCTCCGACTGGGGCCCCTGCGTGGCGGACCTTGCAGTTCCCCCGTTAGCGGGCGGCTGGGCCCGGCCAGGCCCCACACAGTAGTGGCTCTCAGGTCGGCAGTCCCCAGGACTGTTTGCCTCAGCATCCGCGCCAGAGGACC